CAAATAAAGAGCAGCATAGTAAAGAGGTCACCTTAATATTAAAAAAAAAATTTAACAAGAATTATATCTAAAATATAAACTATAAATTATAAAGTATTGTTATACGGGTTTGGGCTCTATAGCTTAGCAGTTAAGCTGCCAAACCCCCACAGACTAGATCGATAGTTCAAATCAGGCTGGAGAAAATCTTAGGATTTTAGCTTCTGTAACCCAATAAGAGGCCATAATTGAATATGAAGCTTTGTGATTAAGTTCAAGTACAAATATGAAACCGGAAAAGAAAATTTCTAAAAGGAGGTCTAATCGTAGAGCGATGGCACTATGTATGACAGGTCATAGAAGGTTCTGTTATATGAAGGTCACGCAAGTTAGTTCTCAATTAGGGGTGACTAAAGCAGCACCAACATCTCTAGCAGTTGGAAGTGATATGATAGTAACAAAACTAGAGTAGTAAGAAAAGTGATGAACACGAGAATAACTTGTAATAAAAGATTGGTCCATCCAGAGTTCAGAAGCACTTCTGGCCCCAAGCCACTAGGCCTATTAAGAAAGAAACCTGTGAAGACAGAGTGAAAAGGCTGAAACTCAGAGTATATGATAAAAACTCGAAATGGCTAGATTCACCAGGTTGGTATAGTACTTGCCAAACACCTGATCCTCATTCAGATCTGCAGCTTTTTGGTTTTCTTCTTAGACTTTTCAGAATTATCGAAAATATACGCTACTTTTCTACTTGCCAAGCAGGTTTCTATTTGGGACTTGTCCCACAGATTTATACAAGTTACAAGAACTTATTATGGGTTTATACTATCTTTTATCAGTTTGTATCCCTTTATATAACTTCTTTATTACACAAATGTCTATAATCTTTCAAGTTTGTACTACTACCCTGATAAGGCTTATAAGATAAACTGTCTGTTAGACGATCATTATGCCTTGCACCTATTTGGTCTGACCGTTATTACAGAATCTATATCCCAACAACTGAATAGTTATCATTATACAGAAGAATTCAATTTTTCATCATTGTTAGAAATTGAACTCTGGATGTGCTATTTGAGGAGTGACAACTTAACCACTTCACTAAGTCATCACACATCTTCTTGTTAAATTTGTATTGTATTAGAATTTATATTGTATTTAGAATTGTTAGAATATTAGAGTATATATCAGTATATGCTGTATGCAGTATATACCATATACTATTGTGTGCTATATACCACTATGTATTGTATATCACTGTGTGCTGTATGCCACTATATGTTATATGCCACTGTGTACTGTATGCTACTGTATGCTGTATACCACTGTGTGCTATATACCACTATATGCTGTATGTCATTATATACTGTATACCACTATATGCTACTTGCTATATAGTTGTACTGTATACTAGTGTATGTCACTTGTCACATGGTTGTATACTAGTACAGTCAGAGATTTTACCAAATATGGAAATCGAATCTAGAATGATCTACGGAAATCTGATTGGCTCCTAATTATTACTTTTTCGCTTTTTTAACTGTATATTAAAAATTCTTGTACTATTTATATACGGCTAATAATTATATAAACCGTAAATAAGAAAACTTTACTTTTAGGATCAATAAATAATATTTCGGGATCAATGCTTGTTGAAAAAGTAAATAAACCCTAAAAAACTAAGACTTTCGCATGAATTTCATATAAAACTAAGTTCTCTTTTTTTTTTTTTTTAAGTTTTATATTAGAATTGTTGAACCTAATAAAGATGTCACAATTAGAACGACCAAAAGCAGAAGAACTTCTGTGTATTTTCCAAGATTTAGCCAAGAATTATAAACAAATTAGCTTAAGCGTCTGTAAAACGAATCTGAAACAAACTTGGAGACATGTAGACAGTGCAGCAGCAGAAAGACGACTCCTGTTATATCACCCTTTTATACCTGAACTCATAGATCGGCATTCTTCATTGAGTTCTTACTCAATCTGCCAAACACATTATAATAACCTTATCTCTAAAGATCATTTTCATCAGCGGCTATTAAATAATTCGTCATCTACATCTTCTTCGTTATCTTCGTCTTCTGCTCACAAAGATAAAAAATCTCAAACAGATACTAACTCTGATATTAATTCTATGTCTATTTTTAGAATCTATGAAGAGGTATCTGACGTTGGTGAGTCGCGCTTATCAGTAGAGTTTGATGAAAGCCAAATAAAAGGCCGAGAAAATAGTGAAAATTTAGAATACTTCACTAGCGCGATTACGGAATTACTTTTACAATTAGAAAATCAAAAAGAGGAAATAGTAGGATTGAGAAAAACGATAAATGAATATTGTGAGGAGATAGTTCGCTTAAGGGAATTGTATCAGAAGAAGTGTAAAGAGAATGATGAACTCATCGAACGGTAGAATTCTCGGTATAATGATTAGCATAAACGTATAGAAGAAGTTATTAGTATCGCACAACTTGAACGAGAATGTTTATACGAAGAGATTGAATCTCTAATCAGAGATAATAATAGATTTTCTTTAGAAAATCTATTAAACTATGATCCACAAACATGGCTGAGTAAACATAATCAAGTTGTCGTTAAATTTATCGAGATGCTAACCCATAATAATTTTAACACAGATTCTTTAAGTATCGAAAAGAGTTTTAAAAGAGCAATGGCCGTCAATTTAATATATGGGTCTAGACATGGAAAATATGTCTTTAAGATAAATCTTATGGCATCAGCTATCAAATATTCCATTGCGCAATCAAAAATCATTATTAACATTGATAACCATATTATATGTTCAGATTAATATTTTTATATTTAATTTTATTTAATTTGTTTTTAACTGTTAATAATTATTTAATAAATATTAAATTAAATAATAATATATAGGAATTTATTCCCATTTTCAAAGTTGGTTAAACAGATTATTAGAAAGTGAAGAGCCTTTACCTGATGGACTTTTGTTTATAGTGTTTGATAATGAGCAGAAAAGACAGCGAAATTATCTCAATTGAGGGATAAACACAGTGATATTTCATATTATTACTAGTTTTGTTGCTTTTAATATAGAGCCGCAAAATCATATCTAATGTATTAACACACCTTGGGCGTTTAAGGGTAGGGTGAAATGATCTATATTTCAATAGTATCATGTTACTAAAATTTTTTACAATGACATTTAATTAAAATCAGGTGATGATCATATGTTATTTATGTTGTATAACTTAAGCAAATTTCGATTAAGTTAAGAAGAATTAACGATATATATAAGTATATTTTTTTTGAATATAACAAAGGTTCAAATTCTATTATTATAATTAGATGAGTCTAATATATATATTGTAAAAATTTTACAAAAAAAAATCAGATTTTTAAAAACTTTTATATGTAACGTATGTTCAATTTTTGGGTAAAATTTTTTTAGTCGATATCCTTATATAGAAAATGATCTACATTCACCCTACCTTTAAATTTCTTAATAGGCTACAATATGAGAATCTTTTTGAAATTATATCAGTGATACAAGAAGCAATAGATCAAGAATTATATGCTTATCTTAATGAAATTCTTGAACTATTGTGTGAAGAAAAACTATCTGCGACCAACGAAATTAATTCTTTTATAGCTAATATGGGTTCAAGTAGCCGCTATGATAAATGATGCACTAGCTGCGGAGAGCAAAATATTGAAAATCGAAAGCAAACTTGTCCTAATCCTAATTGCCGAACTCGTCTACCAGTATTATCAGAATTATCTAAACAAGACGTTTTAGGGTTAGAGAAAAGCGATAAAGAACAGGCAACTATTTTTAAATCATATCTTGTTGAAAAAGAAACTAATTCACTCACTATACCAAGAATTAGTATTACTCAAAAGTCGTCTGCAGACCAAGGAGTTAATATTCCAAAAATTTTTGTTCCTGATCCCCTTAATATTAATCCAAATTCAACAATAAATGTTGAAAAAGTTCTTTCCTATATTGAGAAAATTTCAGGAATTAAAGATGGAAAACGCCAATGGGTGGCTATTACGTGTGATGGCGTCCTATATCACCATATAATTAAAATAAAAGAGAACTACCCTTGGCTTGTTCTTATTCCTGGACAATTGCACGAGGAAATGAACATGCTTCAAGCATACGTAGAATTGAATTGGTAAAGTTATGTTATATTATTTCTGTATATTTAAGTCAAAAGTTTGAAATACTAAATTCATAGATTAATACTGTATATAGTAATGGTACCAGTTTTGTAAGGCTATGCAAAGTTGATTTTCATTTTGCATAACGTGGGATCTAAAAAAGTCAATCGGTCAAATTTTTTTTCTGCTGCTGTTCATATTGGATAATTCTGGAAATTAAGGTCTTCGTCGGGTGAAACTGGTTAAAAATGATGTAAAAAATTAATGATAGAAATCGAATAATTGGCATTTAAAAAAAATTTTTGAAAAATCGAAAAAATGGGTCAGTCACTTTATGCAAAACGAAAAATCAACATTGCGTTGCCTAACATGATTGTGACTCCAAGAAAAAGCCTATAAATCTCGCTTTTATGCATCAATGCATATATGCATAGCTTGTTTTCTCTTGGCATCACTATCTACATACTAGTAATTAATGTATATATGTTACAGGTCAAATTGGTTTTTAGGTCAAGTTAAATTTGATCCAGGTCAAATTGATCAATTAAAATACCCCGGCTGCCAGCAACATTAAAATTCTGCTAGGGATCAATTTGACCTGGGTCAAGTTTAACTTGATCTAAAAACTGATTTGAACCTATAACATATACAATTAACTAAATCTATTGTTTAATATTAGGTTGACAAAAAATTCATAGTTGGTTTTTGTCGCTTCTGGCTAAATTAAATATCGGATGACATTCAAGAATTTATATGTTTTGCGGACATGTATGTCCGCAAATTATATAATAGAATCAAATGATATAAATAATATAGTAATAAGCATTAGATTAATTGAAATTTTGATTTTACTGACCTTTTAAGCCACTAATAATTTATTTAAAAATTATTTCACTTTTGTCCAAAACTATTTTTATTCTATTAAACTTACATAACTTTATATTAATTAAATAGGGATGTTGATATTAGACAATTTGCAATATTTCAAGGGTACAAAACTGAGAATCAACTTGCTTATTTCAAGAAGTGTCACGATCATCATAAATCTTGGGATTCGATCTGCAATATTTACTGCCAAGCAATGGCTATAGAATTGATGTGGCCATACGTCAAGAATCAGGCTATTCCGTCAGTGAAAGGGTATTTGGCTGGGGTGAAAAATCAAAAGGATCCGCTTTACCAATTAAAATTTGAACAGGTAAAATTATTATATTTTCGTTTGAAGCATTTAATAAATTTACAACTAATTACTAAAATTCGCTGGTATTATATAGATTTTCATTTATCTTCAGTCTATTATTAATTATAGGGTAGCCATCAGAAACAATAATCCATTATTAAAAAGAGCTGCAAAAAGAGTATTTTTGCCAGTGTGGTCGGCACAATGTCATCCGATATACCGTATGATAGATATTGCAGATGAGATACAACTGATGCAGCTTGATCCAACTATACGGGATATCATAGAAAAGAACAGCGTAGTTTCTCGATCGGGACTCTTCAATCAGCACCAGGGGTTAGATGTGATTTTAGAAGAAATAAATAAGATCCTAAAAACGTTGATTCCACCTATTCCGCAAGCACGCTATTGGGAAATCGTCGCGAGAAATTGTAAAAAATTCCTCCAGGTAATTCAATATGTTTGCATTTATTATTAACAACTCTGTAACTTATAAATTATTTATAAAATAGTTGCGTTGCAATTTCTTTAATTCAATTAGATATAATGATCCTCAAACAACTGGCCCAAGAACCCGACTGGAACCAATTGCAGAGTGTCAAAAATTTAGAATTCGTCTAAGAAAGGATAATTTTGTCAATCCAATTGAATCGAGAACTATCTGTAAAATCTTGGGAGGACAGGAATTAAGTGCACAGTTGATAGATTTTACAAATTTAGCAAAGCAAGCTAGAAAAGACTATGTTACTAATATTTTTTGTAATAAAAATCCTAATTATTTTTTTAGATCAATTCCGGTCACAAGAGAAGAAGAAACTGCTCAGAAAGCAGAACCAAATATGAGCAAAGCGGAAATCGTTGCAAAGATTGAAGCATTTTTTGAACAAATGAACGAAAGTGTCCGAAAAAAATATCGTGGATTTAAGCAAAAAAAGAAAGAAGAATTATTAATCATTTTAGAGGAGGTAAGATCCTTATTTAATTCGGATAATGAACTTGATAATAGTGATTGTGCTGAAATTTTAGAATGAAGATTATTTTATGCACTTTAAAATAAAGATTAATGCTATTATTGAAAGTAAAAAAATACAATTGTATAAAAAATTTAAGCATTCAAAAGACAATTGATTATTATAATTATATACATATTTCAGTATTTATTTTAATGAAGTTTAATAAATAGAAGCATAAGTTACATGTTAAAAAATCATCATAAATTCTTGATTTGATCGCATCGAAATATTTATTTATTGCACGGCATTATTTTGGTACTTCTAACTATTTCAACTTTAGATTTCTATGAGATAATTTTACATTGAATTTATTAAGAACATTGACGCTTATACATATTGGAAAATTTTGAACAAATCCAAATTATAAATTTATAAAATTAAAAAAAAAAGCCGCCCGGCGGTCTATTTAAAAGTTTCATGTTATGATAACCAATAAATTAAATTTGTTGGCCTATGAAAATATATACTATTCATTTAAATAAAGATTATAAATAAGATTTTTGAGACCAGAGTTTGGAATTTGGGCGTGAACAAACCTAAACTATATTAGTTAAGGATTTGGATGGCAAGATATTAATGTTTTAATCTATCAGAATAAGCAAATGTTTTTTAAAAGCTCATCGTTACTTCTATACTAAATAAACATTAAATTTGAGCTTCAATAAATTTAAAATTCAAACCTTTCAATGTAATATTCTCATAAGTGCATCTGCAAGATTCGAAGTTGACGCCTTTTCACAATGTGTCTTTGCTAACCCATTTAAAATTTTAATTTATACTAGTAACCCTGTGTGTAATAAAAAAAGCGAGTAAGGTAAAATGAGTTATGAAAAGAACGTAAAATGAGTTACAAAAAGAACTAAAGCATTTCGGCATTTTTGAAGTCTTGTTAAGAAACCGATTAATATAGGCTTTTAGTTTGATTAATTTGATTGGTCAATCATTGTACACGTAGAACGATCTGCAACGATCTAGAAAAAGAACTTAGAATGATCTGATTGATGATTATTGCCAAATAAGG